TTTCTCGAGCCATCCGCGCCTCGCCGGCCTCTCCCACCAGCCCACATAATATGCTGTACGCTGTTCCATGAGAAACACATGATCATCCCATTCCAGTCATCAACCCTGCTTACTTCTCACTCGCTCGCTGGAGAGCTGACCTCCTTCGCCACTTTGCACTCCGCTCAATCCATCCCCCATGGGAAACTGCAATGGTCAGCCCTCATCACACACCGATCATCCGGTTCCCGCCGCAGGTGGGGGAGGTATAGTCGTAAAGCCCGCCAGCCGGCACCGGCACTAGCTCCACATCCTCCGGCGCCTCCGGTCACCGGCGGCATCGGCCGCGTGCTAGGTCGGCCGATGGAAGACGTCCGCGAAACCTACAACTTTGGTCGGGAGCTCGGGCGTGGCCAGTTCGGCGTTACCTATCTCGTCACTCACAAGAAGACCGGTGAACTCCTCGCCTGCAAGTCAATCGCCACGCGAAAGCTCGTGAACCGCGACGACATCGAGGACGTCCGACGGGAGGTCCAGATCATGCACCACTTGACTGGCCATCGCAATATTGTAGAGCTGCGCGGCGCTTACGAGGATCGCCAGTCGGTGAACCTGGTTATGGAGCTCTGCGAGGGCGGGGAGCTCTTTGACCGGATTATTGCTAAGGGGCATTACTCGGAGCGTGCCGCTGCTGCGCTTTGCCGCGAAATTGTGACTGTTGTGCACAACTGCCATTCCATGGGCGTGATGCACCGTGATCTGAAGCCGGAGAACTTTCTGTTTCTGAATAAGGAGGAAAGCTCCCCACTTAAGGCTACGGATTTTGGGCTATCCGTCTTCTTTAAGCCTGGTAAGTGCTATTTGTTGAATTGTAGACATGGTCTGGCTCCTTAGTTATTGCATTTGTGAAACAGTGTTGTTTGTAAGCTTATTACTTTAAATCCATGCATTATTTTTTGCATAGTTGTCACCTTCTTTTTCCCATTTTTTATTTTTGTCATATTCGATATAAATTCACTGTCGAATATCGAATGTTTTGTTTGCAGAAAGATAGATCTCTTCTAGCTCTTTGATTATTACAATGTTATTCATTTTCATCATGCTTCACATCCTCTTCAAGCTCATCAAATTCATCTCTCCTTTCTTTATCACGCAATCTCCTTTTCCCTCTCATCAACCTCAACCTTCCCTCGCTCCACAAACTGAATTCCTTCCCCATCTCCTCAATGGCAAGTTCCTTCATCCACCATTTGAAGTCTTGCATAACATTGTTGAAAGTTGAGCTGTATGATTGAGACCCAACCCCAAACACCGCGGACTGGCAATGGGTGTGCATCAATGATCCAACACGGAAATCGGCAACGCTCTCGGCAAACCTTTGGGCCAGAAACACAGCATTGAGCCGGGGCTCGTCGTTTTCCCATGTGGAGGCAACGATGAGGACTACCATTTCCTTGGATAGATTCTTTGGCTCATAATTTTGGGGGCTGACAATGTTGACCGCGACATTGTATGTGGAGAGGAGGGCGGCGAGGGGACGAGCAAGGGACTCTGAAGTATGGATTTGTGAGGTGAAGAAGATTTTGCAGGTTGGTTAGATTTAGGATTAGAGTTAGGGTATGGGAACCGATAGGAGGGCTTGCGGGGGCGGCAGTGACAGAGGTTGTGAGATTTCCAAAGGTAGAAAGTGGATGAGAAGAAGAGAAGGGCTACAAGGCCGAATTGGGCTGCGTGAGAGGGAGTGGAGATGATGGTCATTTTAAATATTATCCACTTTTATCATGTTATTTTACTAATATAGCTTTGATTGATCTATAAATAGTTGGAGATTGTTCCTATTAATGGAGCCATTGGGGTTATATTTGATTTTATATGCCCATTTACACCTAATAGATCTTTTGTTAGGTGGTAATTGGACGATGGACCAAGTTTAGTTATGTTCAAGAGTGTTTAATTTATATTACATTCCTCTTTTGCCATTCGAGAATGTAAAAAAATTTATCATAAAATTGCGGTTTGTAATTGCTAGTGATCTTAAGAGCCAAATATTTGTAACTAATAGAAAGAGAATTATGTTGTGATATGAAATATTTGATGTTAATTTGGGTTTTGAAGCTTTTTTTCAGATGTTACCTTGGGGCTTGATGTTGAAGCATATTGCAATGAAAATCTTGTAGATATGAAGGGACTTAAGAATCCAAGAACTTGTGAGTATTGGAATCCTATCTTGTTTTTGGTGGAGAGAGCGATGATCATTGCCCGCTCCACGAAGCATAATTATCTCAGGTTAGGGATTGAGAGACTAAGGATATTTTTGGGTTGTTAGGATGATGAATGTAGCGAGGGCTAAGTGAATCGTCAATAGTTGGGCTTGATGTACCCATAGGAGGATGCAGGAGAGCTCGCGAGATACTTTGGCCGAAACAAGAAACGTTAGATCTTTGATATTGACAAGAAAGTCGAATACCATAAGCAACAAGAACATGAGAACTGTGAGATGGGGGGTGATGTATAGACGGTGAATCTCCGTAGTTTTGGCGCAGGTGGCAACAGAGGAGAGGGATTCTAGCATTATGGAGGCAATGTGTTTCGTTGGTGTTAAATCAGGTACTGCCATTGTTATTTATGGTGTGAATGACGTTGATGGGGCGAGCAATGGTGTCTGGCTGGACAATGGAGGCGAGATCGATGCGGTGATGGCCAGATTGAGATGGGAGCCAAGGCTTTGCAGATGGGGAGAGCACGTGGGATCCAGTCGGGGATGGTGGGGATAGTTTCTTGAGGCGATGAATGCGCGAATCGATCTCCAGAGCATCAATTGGAAGAACAACAAATTAGTGAGCAAGATTTCACAGATGATTGAAGTCCTCTTGAACGAACCAGGAGATTCAAGGGAGAGATTGCCCATGAAGGAGTATTATGGCATATTTTTGTGAAGTGATGCTTGGCTCAGCTTGAATGCCAACGAACTTGGCTTCAATCAAGAAGATAGGGGTTCTTGAGGTTCCCACAAGAGTTACGGAGTTGAGCCTTGCTCTGGTTCCATTTTAAGATAAAATAGGCATATAAAATGAGAAAAGAGAAGGAAACTACAAAATTTAATTATTTATGAAATGGCTATTTCCAAGATACAATCTACAACTATTTATAGATGAGTTGGGTATATTAGTAATATAACATGATGAAAATGGATAATATTGTAATATTTCTAGCTCTTTGCTTATTTTATAAATGTGAAACAGAGTTGTTTTTTAGCATGCTAGATGAGTTCTAACATTAATTTTTGAGAAATTGTAAATCTGAATCTTATTGGTTCCACAGATCACACTTTCTAATGGGCTACTACAATAATTCTTTTTTAGAGTGTAAATTGAATGCATTTTCCGGTAATTGATGTGTATTAGTCAGATTGAACATAATTTAAAGATGACAAATGCTAATCATGGTCTTCAAATTTTGTATGTCATTGATGTGCGACTGTATGTTTAATGTTATTGAATAAGATGGTCAGAAGTGGTCTCAATGACTTGAAATATAAAATTTTGTTTTTGCATAATTATTGTCATAAGATAGGTGGTGATCTAGGAATGAGTTGTTCTTTAAGAATGCCAGTTATTGCTTTTAAGTTATGACTGATGCGCATTTTATATTATTCCTCTTTAAGCTTTGGTCTGATTTCTTATAATCTTATTTAAGGAGATACTAGATGGTAAATTATGATAGGCCATGAAATTTTGCATTTCAAGGACTTATCTAGTTTCATAGCTGTGAAGCATTGTTAAGTATGGCATGACAATGCTACAAGGAAATTGAAAATAAAAAGTCTTTGAATCCTAGGTAATCCAATTGACTAAATAAGTGAATTTTTTGTTTGTTCATTAATTAAATGTGGTTGAGGCCACTTTGGTTTTAAGATGTGCTGTTGAGCAGTACGTGGGGCAATTTAGAAAAAAAAAATTATGGTTGCATTAAATGAGATTGATAGATTAAATGTTGTATATATGCTTTTCTAAGCTATGTATATTAACTTCCCCTCTAAGTTTTTAATATTTTTCCTTGTTAAATGGATTTTGATACACAGCGTTAGACTGTGCTAATTGATTCTTGTTTTGACTATTTATTATGTAATATTCTTATAATATCACAAAGCAAATTATTTATTTTGATTCTAGCTGTTATTTCTACATGTGATTTCCTTAAAATGGTATCAATGCTTTTTTATAAGGCCCGACCTTTCTTCCTTTATCTTGGCAATGCTTAATAGAGATCTCTTGACATCACAACAACACTAGCAACATTAACCTTGTTATGGATCCATCAAACTCATACCATCTCGATCGTTCAAATCATCCTAAACATATGCTTATACCCATAAAATTAAATGGCAACAATTATTCATCTTGAATTAGAGCCAAGATTCATGCTCTAACTACTAAGAATAAAGTTATCTCCGTCAATGGAGCCATTAAACTAGCCTCTAAATTTGAAGAAGCTTTAACATGCGTAGTGAAATTACGCAATAACATGCTTTTATTATGGCTAACCCATTCAAAAAAACCTAAGAGAGAAAAGTTTAAAAGAGCTTTCTGAACTCTTTATGTGGGCCTATTTTATTCATAACTATTAGATGGGTTCAACTTAGTTTCTTGACTCACTAATCATGATCCAAATTGATCATGCTGGATTATTTGGATCATATTTGAGTCAAGAATTATTTTCGAGTAGATTTAAGGAGCCAAGGGAATAAATTGGAAGCATTAGATAATCTGGACTAATGCAACTCCCTAAATAGTTTAGAGATCATTTTGACCTTTTTCTTGAACACAAAACAAGCATGGAAACAGGCTTTCCAAACCAACAAAATAAGCATGGAAAGACTTCGAAGCTGTAGAACAAGCATGTGTCAATTCTCATAGTAAAATGCAATAGCTATTTATCAAATCTAGAATTCTTTCACTTCTCATAAGGTAAGATGACAATTTCATCATATTTTATGATCAAAAGTCTGGAATGAGTTAGAGATGTATTGTATACTTCTCAGCTACAGTTAAATGAAAGCACATCGTTATTAGAGAGGAAATTTGTTGATTCAAATTTTCTTGGGGTTCAATGACGCCTATTATGCTGTTTGCTTCAATTTCCTCATGATGGCACCATTGGACAATATCTGTTGAGGCTAATCTCTCAACAATCAGGAAGAAACAGAACAACAAATGATATTAGCATTAGGTGAATTCATTCATTGCTGTTATTCAAAGCTATGGAGCTTAAAATCTATTGTGTGTTTTTTGATAAAAAGGTTTTATAGAGAAGAGATGCAAATTTAAAATTTTGATGTGGGTACTTAATGGCATAGACTGCAAAACAATCAACAAACTCAACCACTACAATAATAGCGCGGCTCTCAGGCCTCAGGAAAGTAGGTAAAATTTGCTCTTTTTTGCTTATTTTTTTAGTTCTTCATAGCCTGCTCAAGAAGGATATCTAAGTATGCCAATTTACATCATGATTCCAACATACATTTTTTTTACGTGACCTATATTCAAGTCATTAAAGATATGTATACTAGAGCTGTTACTTGTGTTCGAACTGAAGGAGGATTGACCAAATATTTTCCTATTTCAGTTGGATTACACCAGGGATTCGCCTTAAGCCCATATCTTTTTGCTTTAGTTATGGAAGGTCTTACTGGGCATTTACAGGAGGATGTACCTTGGTGTATGCTTTTTGTTGATGATATCCTTCTCTTGGATAAGACAAGAGAGAAAGCTCAGAGAAAACTTGAATGATGGAGGTCTATATTAGAGTTTAAAAGCCTTCGTTTGAGTAGAAATAAAACTGAATATATGG